AATAACTGGTAAGACACATTTTCCTCTACTCGCTATCAAATGTCAGAAATTTGCAATGGAGTTTTATGCTGTATAATAATTTTCCAAACCTATCCTTCTTAATTTACTATACAAGATATTATCATACATTTTCGTTATAGGAGACCAAGTAACATTGAGGTTGGATGACAAGGATTACACGCAGACTCTGAATGGCGTAGTTAAGTTCTCAGATGTTAGGATCACCAAAATGGTGATGGGTTCCAGTGAATCGACCATCATTGCAGACAACAAAGAATTCAAAGGTAAAAATATTTTAAATAATGACATTAATTAATTTTTTTTTTTTTTAAAAATTGGGAAATGAACTTCAATGAAGAAAAGGGTGAATAAATGAATGAATTTTATTTTTTATTGTAGCTTTCTCAGGTTGCATCTCCATATTTCAAATGGATGGATCTTCAGTTCCACTTAATGGCTCTACAGAACGCTTCATCATTACACCCACAGAGAATGTCGAGTCTGGCTGCTCAGCGCTGTGCACAGGAAATCCATGTGGAGGAGGAACTTGTTCTGTCAACTTGGAAACTCGTGTGTGTGCTCAAGTGAGTGAACAGGCCGATAGTCTCAGCATTGGCATCATTGTGGTGATTGTTTTCTTTGGAGTTCTGTTAATTGTTATCGCAGTTGTGTTTGTGTTATTCCGTATGCGCCGTCAGAAAAAAGATCCCAAAAGTCAAACCAGACCAAATGAAAATGGTCATGTGAACAAAAGTTATAATAACAGCCCTCCTAGTTATCAGGATTCTGGATATGGAGAACAAGATTTTAACAGACAAAATAACCTCAGTTCACCCTATGCTCCAAATGGACTGCATAGGCCTGACCTAATCAACTCTGATCCAACACAACGAAGACCATATGAAATAGATGATGGCACTGTAATTATTGACAATGGAGATGTGAATATGAACCAGCTTACTGATATGCCAGAGCATTATGACCTTGATAATGCCAGCAGTATAGCACCATCTGATACAGATGTTCACATGCATTATAGAGGTTTCCGATCTGGTTATTATCCTGATCGATCCCGAGAGCGTCCCCACAAACGTCACAGAGAGAGTCCATCTAGTGGATTTAAGTCCCGTGAAAGTCCGGGACCAGGAGCACTGAAACTTCAAACATCAGGACGACTACGAAGTAGTCCTGCTAATAACTTAGAAGTGCCACAGATTGCTAGTCATTCTGCTAGGAGTAGTCCTGCCAACGTAGCAATGCGCAATAGTCCCATTAATCAACTCTCACGCCAAAGCCCGCAAGTCCGGGCCAGTCCATTGACTCATTCTAATTTACGAGGAACACCTGTTTCAAACATTCATCATAATAGAACAGAATCAGACCGCAGTCTTGCCAGTCATCATAGTAAAAGTTCCACAAGTTCATCAGTTCCTAGAACAGTGATGCCAAATGGACATGTAAAGTCCAGTAAGCACAAGTACTATGATTCTAATTCTCGTCAGGTTAAAGGCCTCACGGTAGAGGAGATTGAAAAACTGAATGCCCGTCCGCGTCGACCCAGCCCTGTCAGTTTGTTGGAGGCTGTGTCATCATCAGAAGAGGGTCGTCATATAGCTCATATACGAATGAGCACTATAAACAGTGATGTGGTGCTGGTACCACCCGAGTCTAGCTCGGAGGATAGTGCTAATGACTCATTCACTTGCTCAGAGTTTGAGTATGAAAATGAGAAGACTAAAAATGAATTTGACCCAAATGCAATGATATTTTCTAAAGTGTCAGAAGCGGACAATGAACACGAGGACTCCAGTCATCAAAATAGGACTTCACAGTCAGATGGCCTCGATTCAAATGGAGGTTCTTTTGCCAGCACGGTGGGGTCCTCTGAGGAGGGTCCTCGTACTGACCACAAGTTACTCAATGGTCATTTTGCCTGGGATTACCTAATGAACTGGGGTCCCAGCTATGAAAAACTTGTAGGTGTGTTCAAAGACATTGCTTCGCTGCCTGACGGTGAGACGAATGAGAGTCGAGAAGATGAAGTTGCAGCAGATTGTGAGGAATATGTGTGATTGTGTGTCCATGTGTGATATTTTTACCTCTCAACATTCCCTTATTTATTGCAGCAATTATAAAATATGCAACTGCACCGATTTTGAACAATGATATGAATTTGTAAATACATTCAATGTATGATTGAATCAAGATGTACAGAGTGTTTATCGTTATTATTTTATGTTTATATTCTATTTCTTTGGTGCAGACTTTTGTTGTTGTAGACAGTACATGTACCTTTTGATTGTGAAGCGTGTGTGTAGAAGTACATAAGATCCATGTTTTGTCTCCAGTGTATAAATTTTTTTAAGTCCCAGGAAAGAGCTAAGGCAATATTATTACTGTTTCACGTAAGTCCTTACATCCCAAACATTCCCAGAAGTCTCTGAGACAGTGTCTATTTTTATAAATGGTCAACCAAGTTGACACCATCAGATTGAGAGTGATATTGACTAGTGTGCATTTATATATTTTATCATTTTCATTCTCTACTTAATTTTTCCAGTCCCTTTCTCTGATTATTTACGTATTTTGTTACAGTGACAGTTTGGGTGAGAACCCATTTAAAAAGGCATTTATTTTTTAAATACTTTATGATGTTACATTTTATAAAATGGTTTGATCAATAAAGTTTATGCTATCTTGTCCAAAGAGAGAGAGAAGAGATTTTTTTTTATTCAATCTTTTGATAAAAGAACAAAAATATGCCAAAGTATTATAAAAATCTGTACATTATTTAAGCTCAGTCATTGCAATAACTCACAGGTAAACAATAATAGATGCAAATATGTGATTAATATTTTTATTTGTATATGAATTGTCACTTTTTATACTCATAATAAATTTACCTAAGACAGTGGATAGTTCTGTTTTATATACAGCACAAGAGGAACAACTCTTGTGAAAACTTGGGACACAAGGCTTCAAGAACAAGAACATGCACTAGGTGTATGTCAACAAATGTCAAATTTTTTAAACAATTATCAAACTGATTTGTCAACTTTCTGAAATCACTGTGAATAAGACCAGTTTACTTACCACAGCTTAACCTGTTTGGCAGGTAATTTGTACGTGTTTAGATTTGATGATGTTAACAGATTTGGTAAACATTTTTCATGTTCATTTATTTCTCCGTTGCAGAAATAACCAAAATATTATATTTGTAGGGGTTGTAACAATACATTGATATGATGCAGAGGGGGATCGATTTCTTACATAGAAACATCATATGAGCCATCATTTTTTGAAAACTTTCTGAAAGTATATACTGGTAATATGAATGATTTGGTATTAAAGTTTTTGCATAAACAATATGGCAAAACTCATTAAAAATCACAAAGCAAAAAAGATTCCAGTTCTTCCAATTAAAAAAGTTAAATCTGTTTTTGCTTTAATCTTGGTTTAGAAAGTACAGAAGACTGTCAAAGATTTTTTTTTTGGAAAAAGAAATGATAAAGCCAAAAATAAAAACAAGCCTTAGTTTCTCAGGCCAAAAATTTCAAAATTCAATGGCATGCATGTTCTTTTTTTTTCTTTTTTTAAAAACAGGTATCACATTTTTTTCCTTGTCAGTCGCTCAAAAAAATGATGAAATCAACTGATTCTGACTTCTCTATTCTCTTGCATTAAGGACATACGCAACGTAGTTTGAACTTTATTGTCTTTTTCCCCTGAGTTGAAGAGTTCCGATACTTAAAGGAACTGTGTGCTACATTTTAATGTCTATAGATGCTGTTGTACACTTCTTCTAAAACAAGTTTGGATAAACAAAATATCTAGAATATATGTTTAGTAATTTTTGTACATTTTTCTTTGAATTATACAAGAATTTTCATCAATTGATATCTTTTCAAAACCCCTGGTAATGCATGCTGATTTTTTGTCTACGAACATATGATGGCACTATAATCTTAAATTAAGAATATCTTGAAAAATTATCAGTAGGTAAGGTACGTTGCGTATGTCCTTAAGGATACATAACACAAACAAAAATTTGATGCATGGATTGATATATATTTTTTGACTGTTTTTGAATGGAAATGACAAATAATCAATCCCTAAAATATAAAGAAATCCTAAGTTTTCTTTGATGCTTAGGTATGCGACTTTGTATCGTGTTCTATGTAATTCTTTACAAAATTTTGCACATATTTTTGACACTGTGACAAAATCTTACAAAATTCTCCCACTTTACCTGGAAAATATTATTCAGGTTACCTATCTGAATATTGAAATACTGACAAATATTGCTGATTTCTGGAAAAAGTTTGCGTTTTTTATCTATTCCAATCATTTGCATTGTGAAAAGGGGAATAACTCATTTTTTTTAAAACTTGGAAAAATAGAAAATTGAGTTATTTCCCTTTCAATAGATCAATGCGGCGGTGCCTGAGAAACTAATAATTTTTTTTTTGGCCTAATAAAAATATACATTTTCCTTCCTTAATTTCAAAAATAAGTGTGGAAAAGAAAAAAAAGGTAAATCTTGATCTATCATGATATAAAGTGATAATTTTCAGAAATCTGACACATCATGATTCTTTTTCTCCTCACAATATACCCCAGTCAATAGAGAGTCTTTATGATATTGATACTCTTTTGCTCTGACTACAAGTGCAACAACTGTCAGTGATTGTATGTCATTTGATTTGAAAAAAAAATCATTTGAATACAATTATGTCATCATCCTGTACATAATACAAATTTAGATAATTTTGTTGTTACAGTAGAGCAGTTTTACAAATAAATATATATAAGCAAACAAGATAGAATACAGTAGGTCAGTTTCTGCAAAAAATTATTGAATATTTTATATCAAAATAAATGTATTGTCAAATGTAAGTGAAGACTTCAACAATTTTATCTTAATGATTTTTTTTTGAAAACTATTCAACATTTTTTTTTAAAATTCAGTTTGATAAAATATCTAAAGCTTTTATTAAATTAAAATTATTGGTAGGTTCTACTTCAGCCTTCTTTTGTGAGAGATCACAGTTACAAGTAAGCCCTTTTTGTCTCAGAAAAAGTATCTGATGACAAGGTTTTCAATTTTAAACTAATGACAAGGATTCCTATACAGCACATGTACTGATACTACATGTTTGTTTAAACGAATGCTTCTCACACCAAATATAAATAACACTGATATAATTACAGTACATGTATTTACACAGCTGTAAATTTATGGATGTTTTTCCTGCTGGTCTTTTAATGAGGAATATTGGTAAGTTGAATTTTTGCTGGTATCTTTCCATTCCTTATGAATGTCTTTCACTAACTCCTTGCCTGTCTCTTTAGCTGCTCGTTTTGCGATGGCCTTCACACCAAGATTGTCTACATTGTAAGCTGTCATGGCAACATTTCCTACTGTATACAAGGCATTTTCTGATAATTTGGCAGCTTCACTTCCATACCTGATAATTACAATGTATCATCATCACTCTCCTTTTTTCTGTATCAGTATATTAAATGAACAAAGAGCAATGGTGTAGGCTTTATATAAGATTCATATCTGTAACAGATTCCTACACATGACAGACATGAAAAGGGTTTGTGTAATGGAGATCAATGAGTTTATGTAATAGATATACATTGTACCACACAATTTTAACTGTTTTTGTGGTGTATTGTTAATTATATTATGGATTGGGTTTCATGGTCCAGGGTTTGACCTCACAAGGCAAAGTCTAGAGAGTTACTAGGGGTCATGAAACCTAAACCATAGTATTATGCACAATACACCACAAAACAGTAAAATATGTATGGTAAATCTGTTTTCACCTATAATTTGAGAATCAAAAAAAAAAAATTAATTAAACCATAGATCTGAAACTTAATTGATTAAAATATACTTAAAACTCAGTATTATTGCATCATACCGGTACTCGGATTTAGGGAAAATGTAAGAGGTGGGGAAAGGAAATGAAATAAAGTTGTTTTTTTTTTAAATAGATCTTACTATCTTATACTACAATAATTATTGCAATTACTTGGCAAATAAATGCTTTTATACAAATTTCTATTTGTTAAATAGTTTTATTAGAATGACTGACACTAAGTAAGATTGTTAAATTAAGAGGTTTAAAGGATTCTAAAAATACCCTTCAGCCTTTTGTAATGGTCAAGTGGTGTACTAGGATATCATTGTGTATCTGTAGATTTTTGAAAGTGTGTCACACAACATGCAGCAAACATGATGGACATTAGTAGTGTACATGAATTTGAGTGCAACTGAATTCAACCTAGAATTTCATGCGAACGTGATCTTGAAGACTTTTTCACGTGAACTGGATGTAGACTCGAAATAAAAGGAAACCGGCATATTTAAATCTATTTAGGGATTTTACAATCATAATTTTAACTTTAATTTAGACAACAGGACATGGACAAGTCCAAAAATAAAGCAGGCACATAGTATTGGAAAGGGGGAATGCACCCCCCTCATCTTTTTTTTCAAAATTTTTTTTTACTGTTAATTAAGTACAAAAGACTTCCTCCACTTTTTGTCGCAGCATAGTCTAATTCTTGCATGGTAATGTATTTTTAAAAAATTTTCTCATCAAAAAAGTTGGAACCTACCCCCTCCCCAGAAATAGAATTTTTGTGTTTGGGAAAATTTCGTCATATTTTTTCCCTTCAAAGATTTTTTAATAAGTTGTCAATTCTTTTTCCTGCTCCTCCTTTCAAAAACAGTGCTATTTGCCTGAAAAGTATGTCTTGGACAGTTCAAGTGTTTTAGGATTTGTGGGAATCATGGAATACCTGCATGAGTCTGAAATTTGCTAATTTTTGTGTCAATGACATAATTAAATCAGTGTGGAAATATTTCAATAAATGGAGATTTAAATGGCTTTCATGTTAAGCGATGTCCATGGTATAATTTCTTTGGCCTGCAATTATTCCATATTTGATAACATTTTACCATGGTTTGTAGGAATTAAATGGTTATCAGCAGTGTTTTAAATAACTGTGCACCCGACTTTTAAAGATAATTAACACATTATTCTTCTTTTAAGTGGCATTACAAATATTAATATAATATTGTTAACATGTATGCCAGAAGTACACACAACAGATAATTCTGGTGAATATAAAAGTTCAAACTTGGAGACATTGATATAAAATGTGGGAATCTTTTTACTAGGTGCAAGTACAGTTTTATCTAAAAAGGCATAAAATGGATTTTAATTTAAAAAAAAAAAATCATTAAAATCTTACTTATGATTAACCAGAGAAACAAACATTCTTATAAGCTAGGTTTCTAAAAATGAATTTTGATAAAAAAAAATCTCATAGAGTACCAGTACATGTGTACTTACTTATGATTGACCACAGTAACAGTCTCGTTAGCGAGGTTTCTAGCCAGGGCTTTAGCAGCTGCCTCTAGTGACATAAAAACTGTCCCAAAACCTGTCACATTTAAAAAACAAATGATTAAATAAATTACCATTATTTCTTACCGTACTTCTTAAAAATACATGCACATCAATTGATTTTTCTTCCATAGTGTTAATGATGATTCAGATTCCCAACCTTTTAGGCCAGAAGCTGCCACTTCCACAGTGCCATCTATGACTTTGTCGACTTTAGGATTACTGCCAGGGGCACCTGCCTTGCTTTTGACAGATTCTGGAAGGAGTTTCTGCCCTTGTTTTCGGATATGTGGTGCCACCTCTTTAGCTACCGCCACAGTAGCCTGGCCCAATTTTGTCACTAAAAATACAATTGAGTATATCAACTGAAAGGAAAAGGTCATGGTCAGAGATATATTTTGATTACATACAAAGAGATATATTTTGATTACATACAAAAGAATAACTATACATATTCTCAGCCATATACAATAAAGACTTTTTGCTGTAAGAATCCCCTCCAAACCAAAATGTCAGTCTTTCTACATCCTTTTAACTCCAATTGTCTTGTCTAAGATTACCTATTTATTTTTCTTGACTTTTGGATTTTACAATGCTAAAAATTGCCTCCATAGGGCTCAACATAACTTGTCAATTGAACAAATTGCAAAAAATTGTTAACCCCTACTTGTCCGAATTCCTTCTATTACTTGTCCGAATTCCTTCTATTACTTGTCCGAATTCCTTCTATTACTTGTCCAACTCCAAACAAAGAAATTTGTAGAGCTCTTTTCTCAAGAATGAAGTACTAGTTAGAAATAACATTGACGTAGAAAGATTTCTTTACTGTAAATCACTTTTTATTCATTTGAACTTTATTTTCACGTAATTATGTGAGACAGTAGACAGTCTGCTCACGTAGATTTCATTCCCGCATATATTTTTATTAGTATAGATTACATTACAACAATAATCAGATTTCTTGAAAATTTTGTGTCACTTATAAATACCAAATCCTATCTCACAAAAATAAGATGTCGCAAAACTTTGGTGATCTACAGTAATCATGGAATTAAAAAAAGTCATGTACTATACAGTAGCACTGCATGACTGTAACCTAGTCTCGATAATGCTTGTTCGGTAAAAAGTATATCTGTTAAGGTGAGACTGAGTGCATAAGATGTAAGGTTTGCATTGAATGATTGCGATTTTTTAAAAAAAATAGTGTTCAATGAATTCTGTGGGGTTTTTTTTACATTCACCATATTTCATAATTGTGAAAAAAGTAACTTGTCTGATCAAACAAATGTTTATGAAGATTGACTTAACTTGTCCAATCACAAAATGAACCAGACAATTGGACAAACGTTAATGCTGAGCCCTGCTCCAGGGCACCTTTCTAAAGTCTGAAACTGCTGACAAATTTGCATGACTGGTCTCCTTAACCAATAGTTATTCAATTAAGGTGACCTTGATTCTATCCATCCTTACCCACATAAGAGCTGACAGACACAGCAACATGAGCTCCCTTCCTGGCATACTCAGCTCCTTTCTGCAGCTTTGGATCAACTGGTTTTGGTTGTTCAGGGACTAAGTGTCCTTTTAATTTCTCAGATCCTAGTTTTATATAGTGTCCAGCCTTCTCTGACCCCTTTTCCAGACCCCAGGAAATCCACTGAGAAGCTGAAATAGGAAGTGCAAATGAAATTTTCAATTAACCTCTGTAAAAAAAATATCATTAATAAGATGTACTGAAATTTAAGCTACCGATACAATGTACATGTAATCTTTAAAATGAATGTTCATTTATAACTAAATTAACAATTATATGTGCATATAATCCAACAATTGATCTAATCAATATATCCTCATACATCCATGTTATACGGTTGAACGGTGGTGTTTCAATTTGTTTTTGGTCCCATCAAGTTTTAAATAACAAGGATTAACTGTACTTTTTTTAAATAGAACTTCTGCCTCACCTATTGTGTTGTCTTTGACTATCTGGGTGTCTTACCTATTGTGTTGTCTTTGACTATCTTGTCTTACCTATTGTGTTGTCTTTAACTATCTTGTCTTACCTATTGTGTTGTCTTTGACTATCTTGTCTTACCTATTGTGTTGTCTTTGACTATCTGGGTGTCTTACCTATTGTGTTGTCTTTGACTATCTTGGTGTCTTACCTATTATGTTGTCAATGACTATCTGGGTGTCTTACCTATTGTGATGTCTTTGACTATCTGGGTGTCTTACCTATTGTGTTGTCTTTGACTATCTGGGTGTCTTACCTATTGTGATGTCTTTGACTATCTGGGTGTCTTACCTATTGTGATGTCTTTGACTATCTGGGTGTCTTACCTATTGTGTTGTCTTTGACTATCTTGGTGTCTTACCTATTATGTTGTCAATGACTATCTGGGTGTCTTACCTATTGTGATGTCTTTGACTATCTGGGTGTCTTACCTATTGTGTTGTCTTTGACTATCTGGGTGTCTTACCTATTGTGATGTCTTTGACTATCTGGGTGTCTTACCTATTGTGATGTCTTTGACTATCTGGGTGTCTTACCTATTGTGATGTCTTTGACTATCTGGGTGTCTTACCTATTGTGATGTCTTTGACTATCTGGGTGTCTTACCTATTGTGATGTCTTTGACTACCTGGGTGTCTTACCTATTGTGTTGTCTTTGACTATCTGGGTGTCCTACCTATTGTGATGTCTTTGACTATCTTGTCTTACCTATTGTAATGTCTTTGACTATCTGGGTGTCTTACCTATTGTGTTGTCTTTGACTATCTGGGTGTCTTACCTATTGTTTTGTTTTTGACTATTTTGTCTTACCTATTGTGATGTCTTTGACTATCTGGGTGTCTTACCTATTGTGTTGTCTTTGACTATCTGGGTGTCTTACCTATTGTGTTGTCTTTGACTATCTGGGTGTTTTACCTATTGTGTTGTCTTTGACTATCTGGGTGTTATACCTATTGTGTTGTCTTTGACTATCTGGGTGTTTTACCTATTGTGTTGTCTTTGACTATCTGGGTGTCTTACCTATTGTGATGTCTTTGACTATCTTGTCTTACCTATTGTGTTGTCTTTGACTATCTGGGTGTCTTACCTATTGTGATGTCTTTGACTATTTGGGTGTCTTACCTATTGTGTTGTCTTTGACTACCTGGGTGTCTTACCTATTGTGTTGTCTTTGACTATCTGGGTGTCTTACCTATTGTGATGTCTTTGACTATCTTGTCTTACCTATTGTGATGTCTTTGACTATCTGGGTGTCTTACCTATTGTGTGGTCTTTGACTATCTGGGTGTCTTACCTATTGTTTTGTTTTTGACTATTTTGTCTTACCTATTGTGATGTCTTTGACTATCTGGGTGTCTTACCTATAGTGTTGTCTTTGACTATCTTGTCTTACCTATTGTGTTGTCTTTGACTATCTGGGTGTCTTACCTATTGTGATGTCTTTGACTATTTGGGTGTCTTACCTATTGTGTTGTCTTTGACTACCTGGGTGTCTTACCTATTGTGTTGTCTTTGACTATCTGGGTGTCTTACCTATTGTGATGTCTTTGACTATCTTGTCTTACCTATTGTAATGTCTTTGACTATCTGGGTGTCTTACCTATTGTGTTGTCTTTGACTATCTGGGTGTCTTACCTATTGTTTTGTTTTTGACTATTTTGTCTTACCTATTGTGATGTCTTTGACTATCTTGGTGTCTTACCTATTGTGTTGTCTTTGACTATCTGGGTGTCTTACCTATTGTGTTGTCTTTGACTATCTGGGTGTTTTACCTATTGTGTTGTCTTTGACTATCTGGGTGTTATACCTATTGTGTTGTCTTTGACTATCTGGGTGTTTTACCTATTGTGTTGTCTTTGACTATCTGGGTGTCTTACCTATTGTGTTGTCTTTGACTATCTGGGTGTCTTACCTATTGTGATGTCTTTGACTATCTGGGTGTCTTACCTATTGTGTTGTCTTTGACTATCTTGTCTTACCTATTGTGTTGTCTTTGACTATCTTGTCTTACCTATTGTGTTGTCTTTGACTATCTTGTCTTACCTATTGTGTTGTCTTTGACTATCTTGTCTTACCTATTGTTATTTTTTTTGGCTATCTGGGTGTCTTACCTATTGTGATGCCTTTTGCTATCTTGGTTGATGTTCCTTCCTCAGTTCTCTCCCTTACAGTTACCTCTGATTCTGACACAGTAACACCACCTATCAAAAAGTAAAAAATGTAGATATCAGTAAAAATCCATTATTGATTTCAATTTGACTGATTCATCCAAATCCTTTATTTAATATCAAGATTTATTGGAATGTTTTGAGCAAGTCAAACCTTTTGTAGATATGTGGGTATCTTCTTGCTCTATTTGCATAGGTGGTGCAGATGGCTCTTGCTCCAGGGGCGGGGCTGTTGGTGTGGTCTGATCCAGCAAAGCTGTCATTGATGCCAAAGTTTGTTCAAACTGTTGTCTCTGTCTTGGGGTTGCATCAGGGGGCAACATCAAGCCAACTGAAGATCCTAATATAGAAGTATTGGAAAATTTAATCCTCTAGAAAAAAATCTGGTTTTAGTGACCAAGTTACAACAGTTTCTTTTTCAAAAAGAAAATAAAGGTGTTACCTTCATTGGCTGCAGTTACATCAGGAAAGATGTATGAACCATTTGTAGCATGCAGTGCAGGGGACATTCCTGGAACCAGAGGATACATCCAATTATCTACTTTCAGAAATGCTGGGGGTCTATTCTGATCTTCTGCTGGAGGTGGGTCTGTAAACCGAAACATTTTCAGAGAGGATGGGTAAGAAGGAGCACTAACAAATCCCTCGGGTGTAATGTAAAATATCTGTACTCCATCAGGTATACTAAATATCTCCTCAGCATTAGCTGAGAGGGTATCATCAGAAGACTGATCACCCATTATAGAATCTCCCAAGGAAATAAAAGCTTCCTCTGAGACTGACCCTGGGGAGGAGATGGACTCCTCATAGGACGGAGGAGCTTCAACTTCCATGGATCCATTTCTGGTTTGAGTCAAAGACTTCACACGATACTCAATCTGAAGTTTTGTTTTTGTCATTTTCTGCTGCATTAATTTCACATCATTCTTCTCATCTTCTGAGCAGTTCAAATGTTCTGCATTTACTTCCAGTCCTTTCCCAATTTGTTCTAGTCCTTTCTGGTAGTTGGATAAAGCTTGTGGGATATTTGATTCCTCATCCAAAGCAAGCCCTTTGTTGATAGCTTTAAATGCAGAATCATGTAACTTCTGAAATGACTTTATATCTGTTATGCTATCCCTGCTTTGGTTTATTGGGGGTGGCCTTTGGGGACGAGGTCTTGCTCCTCTAGGACCTCTCTCGATCTGGCATTCTGCCATGCTGGAAATTTCTTGAATGCAAACACTACAAAATTCAAATTCAAAGCATCATATTTAAATATTAAAAATACTATGCTCAGATTGCTAATAAGATAAAAAAAAAAAGTAAAACGATAAAAATTTCAAGAATTTCGTGAATCAGGAAATCGAGGAGTGCTCAAAACGTAGGCTAATTTTTGATCACAGAACTAGGTTGAAAAAAAAATAAAGAGCCCAAATAAATAAAATGTTTTGTCAATTTCAGTAATTGAGTAAAAGAATTCAAATAAATACCCCATTTTACTGTTTTGTTGGATGAAATTATATTTCTTACCTAACAGATAAATGTTGTCAAGAACAATAACAACACGTCAACTGTAATGATCCATGATCATCTGACTGAAATTCTACTTTCATTTTAGAGGTAAAACATAAACAAGTCGTACAATCAAAAAAGTTCAGTTTAGATTAGGCCTAAAGATCCAAACCCATAACATCTTGTTTCTGTACCAAATATGAATAATCTATAAGATAAAAATGATTTCAAACGTATTTAGTTTCCACAATGAATAAATATAATTGTTAATGAAATAGTAATTTTAGGTACGACTTAATAAAAGCTTGTGACGATCACATGATGTAAACATGGTAGACGGTAGGAGGAAAACATTGACGGACAGCAGAAGTGTTTTGTTTTCTTCCTTTTAGTTCTACCTTTGAAATGAAGTAATTTTTTCTGGTTAAGGATTGCGAGGTCATGGATTTTCTTCATCAATGGCGGCACTGGATTCGACCGTTTGTTATCAGCTTGTATTTTATTCTGGCAATAATAGCTCTTCCGCTCTGTGTAGTGGAACTTAATAGAGAGGGTGCGCCCAAGCACGTGCAGGCATGGTTTGCTGGAGGAATCTTTGTGATGATGGCTATTCCCATATCATTATGGGGTATACTTCAACACTTAGTCAACTACACCCAACCAAATCTTCAGAGGCATATCATAAGGTATATGTGTAATGATTAAAAGGATGCATCATCAGTGTAAAAGTCTACTTGCCGAAAGATTTTACTCATACTCATATGAGAGTTAAGATGAAGATTTTTTGGTAAACAAAAATATGCATCAAGGATCTGCTATATTTTAAAAGGAACAATTATATGATTCCTATCTTCAGTGAAGATATTTGAGCCCCAGTAATTCAACATGTTCTAGGGTCATATTACATAATACATTATATTTCAGTGCCAATATTATTTATAAGTACATGGGTTGTAGTTAACATGTTACATATGTAACAACAAAACTGTGTAATCTCCACTGAAATCACTAATGCAGTATACTAGCTTCCTTTATTACCATAGAATAATGTTCAGTGATTTTTCTTTAGAAACGAATTGTTTGGCATAATTTCTTTTATTTTAACAATAAAAAAAATGTTTTAAACACTTAACATGTTCATGAACTGTATTTGATTTCATATTCTATTAGTGATTGAAGCTTTAAGCATTTCTTATGTTTTATTCCCCTGTGTTCTTGTAAGTTTTTTATAGTAATACTGACAGTTTATCATCTATTACCCAGTATTTTCCATTCATTATAGTTTTATCAAGTAGGTTATACCTTCTTAAAATATATGTACAATATTGTGTACAATGAATTAAAATGAATTATTTATGAATCTTGTATATTTGATTGAAAATTTATATTTGCAGAATATTATGGATGGTTCCAATATATGCAGTCAATGCAGTGAGTACACAATTTTTCTTAGTTAGATATTTTTATGATAAATAATTTATTTCCAAATGTGAGATAAGACTAGCTTAGTTTGAATTTTCCTCTTCATTTAATTAGATGTGAAGTTTCGTTATTTTTCAGTGGTTTGCCTTACGATTTCCAGAAGCTGCCATTTACTTAGACACACTCAGAGAATGCTATGAAGCTTATGTCATATACAACTTCATGGCTTACCTGTTAAATTACTTATGGATAGAAAACCCTAACCTTGAAATAACATTGAGAAACAAGGAACCTGTCAAACATATCTGTCCATTCTGTTGTTTTCCTTCCTGGCAAATGAAGTAGTAAGTTTTCCTTGAATTTATCTGTTACTGTTTATCTAGATAACCAATTGCAAGACATGGACTGTATAGGAGGAAAATAATTCACTTTGTAAATATTCACTATATTCACAGTGTTACTTAATCTGTGTATTCAGGAAACAGTGAAGAAGTTTTCAATAGAAGTCCTCTTATTATTTTTTTTTATTTAAATATGAGGTCCAGACTACCAGCAGTTATATACTAGGTATTACAGAGTCATTCATGATCAGTAATGATGATTAGTAATTGTCATTTAATTAATTCAATTACCTCTTTTTCTTTAAGTTCATATAAGCAGATAATGATCTGTACTTAATGTTAAACACCGACTCTGATCTACTACAGAATCTTTGAAGGGTCGTAGACTTTTATTAACCTGTGCATGACAAACATAGCCAATTAGGACACTGATGCTTATGTTTTCTCATTGGCATTATGTGTAATTCAATTTAAATAATTATATTTATTAATATTATAAACTTACACAGCAAATGTTCAATTTCATCCATGGTTTATTTCATTGTTTGCTACAGAAAACACACAGTCTGCCTCGTTTTGTTTTAACATGATCACCGGGGAGGGGGGGGGGGGGGGGTTTGAAAGTAATTTTTCCACACTTTAACCTACTAAGCCTGATTTAAACTTATTAGTTTATGATGATCTAGAATGTACACAATGTGATTGTTCAGATAGTTCATAAAACATTAAATACAGCGTTGTCCTTCTTGTTAGACAATGTATTTATGCAAAATATGGGAGAAAACTTATTTCATACAAATTCCATGAATTCATCAAACTGCTATCATGTCAAAAGAGAGGAAAATGAAAATTACTATCCGTGGAATAAATCCCCCTATACAGCATATAAACCACTTTCTTTCTGACTTAACAGTTGATGGTTTAAAGCATCATTTCATGTCAAGTAATAGTATTTAGTTTCTTTTATAAAATAATTTATATGGGTATACTTTTGTTTCTTTGTAGATGCTGGGTAATGATACAGTGTATTCATGTTGTTTTTTTTTTTTCAGCTCCTTCATCAACAGATGTAAACATGGGGCATTACAGTATACCATTGTTAGACCAGTGACAACAATTATAGCTTTGTAAGTTATAGATGATAATAAACCAAAGAATTTACTTTATTCAATATACACATATTTTCAGAACATTATATTACCCTGGTATGTGTCTGTATATTTATATTGTGAATATGTAGTTTATCAACTTATGTTATAACATCTCTTCAAATATTTGTTCATTTACCGTTACATTTTTTCTGTAATTTTTCTATACTATTTCATTTATCATATTTGTCATGCAACTAGGGCAAATGTACATTTATAATTCAAAGTTAATTCAAGGAAATGGATTAATTTAAGTTGTAACGACTTGTTTCCGAATCCTGTGTGTATTACTATTTGAGTGTATAGTCTATATATGTTGACTTATTCAAATGAAATAAAGTTTAAACTAAACTAATATACACATATTTACCAGGTAATCAAATACTGACACAATAGCTATCTGAGATAATTATTCTGTAGAAATTACCTAAAATAAATCAATTTTTTAAATGCTTTGCCTTTTTTAAGTAAACTTATTTATTTTGTTTCCTTATTTTACACCAAGAGAACAAGATGAGTTAAATAGAAGACAGAAAATATACACTTAAAAGTACGAGTATTTATAAATTCTACACTGAACATGAATATTATATCTATCAGATTGAAATACATGTACATTTTAATTTTGTAATACTTTTCAAGTTCACTTTTAGTAGGAAAGATACTGCAACTTTGTTAAGGTACTTCCTATGGATTTTGTAATATCATTTGAAAATCTTTTTATTTATTTATTTATTTTTCAGAATTTGTCAGCTAAATGATGTTTATAATGAAGGGGACTTTGATTTTAAATCAGCCTGGTCCTATTTAGTGATTATCAACAACATCTCACAGATTGTAGGTACCATTTCCCCTCTGTGAAACTTTACATTTATTTTAAAACTAGTACATATGTTATCATAGTGATGGCAGATTTAAATTTTTTCCAGCATTTTGTATATACGTAAAGTTTGACAATTAAGATATTATTTTCAGTGGGCTATGTACTGCCTGGTGTTGTTTTATAAAGCAATGAAGGAAGAGTTAGCTCCCATTAACCCAGTACCAAAGTTCCTCTGTGTTAAATTTGTTGTCTTCTTCTCATTCTGGTAAGTGCTATCATCAAGATGTAAATATAACAATAATGGTAGACCAGGTAGATTACTCAGTAGACATCTAATTCTTGACAAGATACATAGGTAAATGCCTCTTTTGTGTGTCTAGGCAGTCAGTGGCCATTGCTATAATGGTCAAACTGGGCTGGATTCCTGAGGATGGTACCTGGGTCTTTTACCATTCTATTCAAGATGTTGCAACAGGATTACAGGTATTTGCCATCAGATGTTTAGACTTGTATATTTTAACTACAAACAGAAATCAAAGCTCAACTACCGTTGTTTGAGAAGCTTAACTGGCAAAATGGTATACGCTTGATTTTTTAAAAACAAAATACAGGATTTCCTGATCTGCATCGAGATGTTCCTGGCAGCCATTGCTCATTACTATTCATTTTCCCACAAACCTTTCATCAGCAGTGAAAATGAGAATGTCAGCTGTTTTTCCTCATTCTTGTCTATGTGGGATGTGTCAGATATGAAAGATGATGTCATAGAACATGTCAAGGTCATTAGTAAGTATACATTTGTGAAGGTCAAGGATTAATTTGGATGATGGAAAAATTAAATTTTAGTAGTTTTATTAAATACATGTTTAACTTGTTTGTAAATAAAAAAAAATGAAAAGAATTATTATGTAAAGCTGCAGTGGGTTATCAGATAATGCCAACTGAAGGTAATTGGGGTAATAGATAAGAAAACTTTAGACCTGCCATATTCTTTTTACAAAATGTTGCAAAAAACACTCTCAAGTTCTTCCAGTTTTGGAAATACCAGATGACTGTATCAATAAATTGTGTAAAAATGTATTCATGAAATCAGTGTGTAAAAAGTTCATGTAAGTTCATAAAAAACTTAAGTTTTACTCATAATTCAGAAAATAAGTATGGAACTCTTATCTGACTCAAAGCCTCCTTTTTATTTGATCTGCAACTTCATACATATTTTTATTCTTAACAAAATTGAACTTTAGATCAAAGAAAAATTTATTTTTTCACAGGCAAAACAATGAAAAAAACCATCAGCAAGTCAAAGATGAAATCTGACAATGAACGAACTCCTCTCTTAGCAGGGGAGAATCCCCCTTCCTCTTCCCACAGGGATCTACTGGGATCCCAGAGCAGTGCAGACTGGGATGCAACATCCCTGGAGAACAGTGAACGACCTTTCCCACAGGTCACTCAGGCCACACCGAGCATGAGTAACTACGTGGTCCTTGAGGATGAGGAGAGTGACCAGGAAGTGGACAGGACAGACACACAAACAGGGGATAACACAACAGAGACACAGAACAGTGATCAGGGTGCTGGTAAAGTCACTGCAGAGACCAATCAAACTGGTAGAACATTGACCAATGAAAATGTTCATACTGGATCGACCAATCAGAATGACCTTTCTGAATTAACTAATCAGAATGATTTATCTGGACAGAAAACTATGGTAGATGTGCATAGACAAGACCAAGATGATAGTAAACCAGATACTCCTTCTTAGCATTCCATTTTTAGATTTTTTGACATATCTCATTGTACACATGTGTTAATCAGTGTATCATCTTCAGTGTTTCACCAGTAACAAATTACATGTTATCCAGTTACAAATTACATGTTATACCAGTTGCAAATTACATGTTATACCAATTACATATTACAGTAAAACTCACATAGTACAAACATGTATATAGCAAATTTTCGGATATAGTGAAGTTTCTTGGAATCCCTGGCAAAATTCGTAAGAATTCTTGTAAAATTTCACAGGTATTATTAATGAACTTGGATATATATCGAATTTACGGATGTAGTGAACTGATTTTGTGTTCCCTAGAGATTAAAAATAATGTATTTACATCTTTTATAATATTTTTTTCAAAGAACTCAATTTTTTAAATACTAAACTACATTGTTTTTGTAAGTATTCATATTTAAAATTCAATTCATCCGAAAAGTTGAGAACTTCAAGGTAACTTTTGTATATAATACTTCCCTAAATACATTTGGTAGTCATACAAAAGGGACAAAAATCTACACTGCAAGTTCGCTATATATATACTTAAACAAATTTGTTATATGGACAAATTACGGATACAGCGAAGTTAATTTGCAGGTCCCAAGGACTTCACTATAACCAGGTTTTACTGTACACGTTATACCGTCCTACCACATCTTGGGCAGAAAAACCACCTTAAATGTATACGTTGGTGATTTTCATAGATGACCCCTTTTACTTGTTTACAAAAGAACTTACTAAGAAAAAATTATTTGTCTGAATGCAAGTTGAATTTTTTAAGTGGTTCAACTAGAAAACCTGAAATTAAGCAAACAAATCACATTTTGCACTAGCTGATCCACAGTCTGGAAGTAACTTCACGATGATCCATCTATTTTTTTATGATATTCTAAAATCTGCTTGTCTTAATGCATTTGAAATATTTTTTTTTATAACTTGCCAGAATACCCTGAAAGACCTGAGAAGTTAAAAATGTTATACATAAAAATACTCTTTGTTTTAGTGCAGCATTGGGTGGCTGCAACCTTATGTATATTTATTCTTGTTTATTTAATGTGATATTTTAAGTATCACCAAAGAATTTTTTATCTTTATAAATTGTTGATGTACACACAAAATAATCTGTTTTCTCTTTTATTCAAATGTAGATAAAAAAAAAAACAGCCATTATCATCAAGAAAAGAAACAGCAAATTAAAATTAAAACATACTATAAAACATTTTGCGGAGTTATTCATTGTTATATACAGTCAAACCCCGTTATCTATAAACTCGATGGGACCGAGAAAAAAAAAGATATCCAAGGATTCGAGATATCAAGGGTAAAACACTTAAAGATTAAGTGGTTGGGACTTTCAAATCAATTAGACATATCCATGGTATTCGAGGTAAGGGTGTTCGAGACACTGAAGTTCAATTTTATCTGAAAACAAGTTCATATTGAATGATCACTAGTATTTCTGTCGATTTGAGTTTGAATTTTCGTATATTTTCCATGATGGGTCATAGATATTGAGAGAATTTGTACCCCAAAGTGTGGGAATTATAATATTAGCCATAAAAGATACTTTTACTTACTTTAAGGACATATGATACAAACTTTTTTTCAAAAATCACAAAAATAGCTTTAGCCATGTTTATGTAAGTAAAATGAAACTTGCTTTCGATGGGGGTGGAATTCTCGCGGACCGCCCTACACCACATGGTCATTGAGAATGGAAGTGAGATAGTTATTTGGACATTAGTCTTATTACAGGATCGCTACCATAACACATTGCAATGAAGTTAATTTTATTTCTTAAAGCGCATTTAATTTACAATAACTCTAAAACTAACATAACTGCACTAAGTGAAGAATTATTAATAAAGAAAGCACATAGGAATTAACTTTTAAGGAACTTCCGCTCCATCCAGGGGTTGAACTTTCGGCCTATGGAATATGTCTCTTAGCAGTACAGGAACAGCTTGCAAGACCGCTCGGCCATCTAGGCAAGTCAAAAAACTTGCTTTCGATGCCGATGGAATTCTAGCGGCGCCGCCCTACACTACACGGTCATCCAGAATTAGATGGTAATCGGCAAGAGAAGGAAAAAATAAAATATGTGTAAAGAATGAGGGCGTACAAGACGACCACAATCACAATCCCCCTCTCTTAGACTAGATACTTTTGTGTATTTCTAAATTTTCAAAGTTATCAAAAAATTATAAGTTATATTTTTTCAGAAATTATGTTATCAATCTTTAACAAATTTGATTCATTTATTCTATTGAATAACTTATTGATAGATAATTTGTTTGAAGTTGACAGTTAAGCTTATTTAGTAGACAATGACACAGGCATTTGTTTCGGTAATAATTATTTAAACCATAGTATAATAATAACACAAGGTATCCAGCTCCGAAGTCCCCCCTTCCCCAGAATCGCACTCATTTACACTTTCAGAAAAAAATGTATTGGAAAACTGTTTCTTACCATTGTCTTCTACGATAATTTATCTACGCAACCATATATGGCATGTTTGTTTTTACTTTCCTTTATCTCCGTAAACAGCGTCAGAACTCTGCTCGCAGAGTGGAAAAGTCGGTCGAATCACACCATAAAATAATTTTTTATTATACCATAGGTTAATAAATTTATTACCGAAATAAGTGCCTGTGTGAAATACACATTATTCAATAAAATAAAGAAATTAAATGTGTAAATGATATTACTGACAACGCATTTTTTGAAAATTATAACTTATATATGAACTTTTGGAATTGAGAAATATTTTGTCTCAGAGCGGGGAATTTTCGGCACCTTGTACGCCTCCATTCTTTGACCGCAATTTTTCTGGAAAATTCAATTAGATAAAAATAAAAAAATTTCTGAATGTTAGCATTTTCTCTTAACTATTTAAGTTTATTCAGAGATAATTAAGACTCTCCGAATTGACATTGTGGGGGTAATTAGTCAGTTTGTGAGGTTAATGCTGTTTAAGTTTTAATGTCCCTCTGATAAGAGATAACTTTCGAAGGAAATTATTGCAAGCAATATATATATATATATATATATATATATATATATATATATATATATATATATATATATATATATATATATATATATATATATATATATGGTATGAGCTAAAACAAAACTGTTGAAAACATTGAACGATTTATATCTCAGTGTACGGTGATATACATACAATATAGTATAGAGCAAAACATTGAATGTTTTATATCTCAATGTAATATACATACTATACAGTATAGCAAAAAATTGAATGCTTTATATCTCAATGTAATATACATATTATACTATATGCTATACTATACAGTATAGCGAAAAACTAATATTTTATTCATTCTAGTGATGAATTATTGGTATCAATATACACTTTTTTGTAATTTGAGAAAGGATAAATTCTTGGGTGGTTCGTTGATGCCCTCTTTATGCCAGGTCTATCGACTATTGAAAGGGTAATGTGTTTTGTATGAGAGCGTATATAATAGATTCTACAGGCACGACCAGCTTCATTCCCCGCGCAGGAATCCAGCACCGTGATAACTTCCCGTTACCTGCCGACCTCGTGTGACCCTCTTCAGGTGGTTGTTTTTACCGCCTAACTTGCGATATGGTAAGAAGTCAAATTTTCGTTCTCTTGGGACTTTTTGTGACCACTGTAGGAGGTTTCAACAGGTCAGCATGTCCAGCAACCCTTACTCCAGCACCCGGCACCACGGGGTAAGTCTCTCTCGTTTTTTTTTTAATTTCAGTAAGGTAACGACAGTCATGCAATCTTTTCTCTCGTGAATACATCGTTATTATTGCAAGTCATGGACTGTATTGTATTAGGGATATAGAAAACAAAGGTTGAAATGTTTATGAGTAGAAAGTTTTTACAAAAATTCCACCGAAACTAACTATATATATATATATATAGATATATTAAAAAATTCCACCGAAACTAACTATATATATATATATAGATATATTTAAAAAAAAAATGGACATCTTAAAGTAGCGTTATTGTCTGTTTCTTTTTGTCCTTCCCTTTTTCTTTTTGATTTTATCATGTGAAACAATAAACTGGTAGCTATTTATTAGGCATTTACCCTTGGTCTGCAAAAGAAATCTTATGCCAGACTTGATAATGCACCCTGCACTCTGACCTCATATCTTTTTCATGTCCCCAAACATTGTTTGTACTATTGTATTTCTTATCATGTCTTCACCCCCATCTTCTTAGGGTTTTAACAGAAGTGGGTCAAAAATCTAAGAGAATTGTATAATTTGAACAGTTTTGTTTAAAATTCGTGTACTTTAAGAAAATTTCACATGAATCTAGGTTCATGAACCACAGCGCTCACAGCTTCTGCATGGAGGAAGATAGATAACATAGGATTAACCATAAGCTTCATTTTCAAAAAAGAATTGCACTTTTTTGCAATCTTCTATCGATCACAAGACAAAGTAATAGATTATGTGTATGTATACCTATTGTACCTATAAAAAGGTACAAAACATTATTTGTAGTTCATGTAGACCGTAAAAGGAAATCTGTTTTCCACGTGAATTCTCTTAAATTTTTTTCTCCACCGTTAATATATGTACTTAATGAATAAAATAAATTAAAAATGCATTAAAAACAAGCATTCTAGGAGTACTGCCAAAGCAGTAATGTACTCTTAGTATCAACACCAATCTTTACAATACATACTTATAAAAAGCTTTTACTATGAATTGTCTGAGAATAGACTGTGTTTTAGTATACCAAACCGAATTACTATGAATTGTAGCATACTTTTTCAAAAAATTGAAATTGAGACAGAAATGTTAATCATAAAACTTTTAGAGAAACAATTTGAGTCACTCAGGTTGACCCCTGCTATCTGTTTTCGTCCAAAATTGATCGTGCGACGTACGTCGATCGTAAATTTTTGAACATTTTCAGCTTCTCTTGAACCACGTGCTCTGAACCAATTTGGCATATATCATTAATAGGTGAAGGGGTATAAAAATCATGAATTTCATGGTCTGTGCCCTCTTTGGGCCTTAGGGGTGGGGCTTAAAAAAATCAAAATTATTGCTATCTTTAAAAATCTTCTTCTTTACTCATGAATACCAAGCAGTCTAACTGTTGGCATGATTGTAATAAGCACTGAACCCTCTACCAAAATTGTGAAATTCATGGCCCCAGTGTCATAGGTTCTGGAATAAGGGCGAGGCTCTAATGACATTTAAGCATTGAATTATTATTTTTGGAAAGATATAGTCTCATAACTGCAACGGTGTGTGCAAACAAATTGAGTAACGCGCGTTACTCAATTTGTTTGCACACACCGTTGCAGTTATGAGACTATATCTTTCCAAAAATAATAATTCAATGCTTATATTTACATGTTTAACTCCTTGCCTTGACTGCAAAGGTGTTCTTTATTTCAAAATTCCTGTATTATCCTTCGGGTAAATTACATTTAACGGAAGAGCCATTACAACAGCTTCTGTTCAATGTGAGCGTGAAATTTAATTTTCGGTTATGACGTTTCACTCCCACGGCGATAAACGTTTGTGACGTCGAAATAAAACGCATACTTTAACCTTTTGACCCCCTGTCCGTGTTATGGTGTTTTGAATGCCGTAGCTTTCCTCATTCTTTATAAGCAAAATACATGTTGAATGTAAATATATACATGTATATGTAATTCTTTAACAGGTAAACTAGGTGCATGTTTATGATGAGCAAGGGTGTCTCTAGCAAAACTTTGAAATTTGTGGCGTCAGGGTGAAGGGTTCTGGATGAGGTTCTATAGATTATATACTGAAAATGCATTATTTCTTTGAAAATCTTCTCTGCTCCTGGGTATTAAGCAAACAAATTAAGTGCATCGTTATCATGAACAAGAGTGTCTCTTCCCAACTTGTGAATTTCATGGCCCCTTGGTCAGGGGTTCTTGTGTTAGGATGGGTCTCTATTGATATACACATGTACAGTGAAATGCATTTATTCTTTGAAAATCTTCTTTTCTGTTCCTGGGTATATAGCAAATAAACTAAGTGCATGGTTATGATGAGCAAGGGTGCCCTTTTCAAAATTGTGAAATTTGTGGCCCATGGTTATGGGGCTCTGGTAGGGGTTTAATTTATTGATTAAATAGTGAAAATGAATCCTTTCTTTGAAACTTTTCTCTACTCCTTATGGTTTGCAAGTGTGTCTCTTCAAAAATTGTGAATTTCATGGCCCCTGGGTCAGGTGTTCTAGTGTTAGGGTGGGCCGGGCTGTGTTGAAAAATGCATTATTTCTTTTTTCTCTGCTTCTGGGCATCTAGGGGGAACAGAGTACAAAGGTTTAATAAGCAAGGGTATTTTTACCAGATTTTTGACTTTATGGACCACTTGATCAAGAGGTCAAGAGAAAAACAAACATAAGATGACATGTTATTCTATAAATAGTTATGCCCAATGTAATCTTGAATCTATGTTGCAGATATAGACTTGCATCCTAAATAACAAATAAACATTGCTCGATACCCGCTTGTTAAATATTCTTTAAATACATGTACTTCAATTTTTAAAATCGCTCTTTATTTCTGTCAATGACACAATTAAACTGTGACGTATAACACGATGGCCAAGGAAGCGGATCAGAAGCATTTGGCTATTAGTAAAGATTAGTATTTTGCAAATTCTATGTCGATGTAATGACTTATTTGAAATACAAACTCTTATTTTGACTTGCTTGTTTCATACCAATCATTAGAGCACTGTTTTTATACTGATTTTGACTAAGGGTTACTCCTAATCAGTACAGAGGGCACACGGTAGATGTGACTGGTCGACAGGGGATGCTTCCTCCTGACCTAGGAATTTGATCATACTTCTGGCGTTTCCAAGGGTCCATTCTTATTTCGAACCGTGGGCATTTTCTCTGCTTGTCCACCCATCTTCTTTAAATTATAGTAGAAAGTTGTTTTATCACTCAATACATCTTTCCCCTTTGAAGTAATCGAGAGCCGAGGTGATATACATGTATGTCAAGCAGATTCTACGGAACACTCCTTTTTATGGCGATATCTACAAAAATACTGATTTCTCGTTAAAAGATAATAAAAAAATAACATGGAAAGTAAAGTTGTCACAAATAATTTGACTCTAAGAGGAAAAAGAAAATAATGTGCGGTAAATAAAAATATCTTGTATCATGTGTTAATATCTAATACGTCTAACTGCCTAGGAATCTTTCATTGTAGAGTTAAACCTGTTCTTGAGCGATACGAATCAGCGTTACTTATGATCCTTGGATTTGGTGGATTTTCTATACTGCTAGCAGTGCTCCATAATGCTGTTCGGAAATACGTCTTCCATGACGAGCATAATCTAGATACTACATTTGACGCCGGCGGTAACGTCAGTTTGAGTCTTACGGCTGTGACGGTCGCCTCCCAGCTGTTCTGGCCCGGGGACATTCTCCACAGTGCTACCCTTACAACAAAGGTATTACAGCCATTTCAAACAAAATTTAGTAACAAAACACGTATTACGGGCCTGCTTCATCAAATTTATACTGGAAGGTGCTTGAAATCAGATGTTCAAGCACTACCACTTGTTAGAAAGAAAGGTTTAAAACACCATAAAGACATCGGGCTTAGGATACCATAGTTTAATAGCATCTCAACAAAGGTTATTCAACATTTAGATTTTGAATATACTATAGTACACTACTGAATATGGACACTCCAAGTTAACTGGGGCTATACAGGATTTCCTTTGTCGATAGTCTGTCAGTTCATCGTCTTGCCTGCAATTTATGTTTGCCTATCCCAAGAAATCATACATGATCTTGACACGTACACATCTTTTAAAGGTCAAGATTATGTAAGTTCATTCACTAGAATTTCCGATCCAAGTGAGAAAATATTGAACAAAGATTTTTTTCTCAGTGACCTTGACTCAAGGTTCTTAAAGATCAGGACATTGTGGAATTGACGTAAACTTTACAGATCAAGGTTACTGTGGTCATTTGCTGAAAAAGAAATTATATAGCTACCATTTTCGACACCACAAATGGAATCATTTTTAATTTGCCTTAAGCAGCATATCAGATCTGGATTAAAAGCGGTGAATAAGTTTGGGTTTTTAGTGATTGCTTGGCGCTCTATATTTGAATTTGCACAAAAATATGTACGATTACCTGCTCTATAAATGCAAGAGTGGCGATGTCTACCTCGTCATTTCACGCGGTACGGAAACATTGATTTTCCTTTATTTGTATTGACAGAAGGTGTCAGATAATATTTCTTGTATACTGTGTCCCAAGGATAAAGATGTCGAGAATAGAAAACGGAGGACACTTGAGCACACGTTTAATGTACAATGCTAAGCTAAGTTGACGTTAAGCTCTCATTTCGTCCAGTTCCTCCGAGATTGAGAGCGCCATAATTGAACCGAGAGGCAAAGAACTTTTCTAATAGACACATGTTTTGTACCAAAGTGAATATTTATTTTAGAATTCACTGCAAGTTGACCACCCGTTATAATAAGATTAGGTCCCTATATCACTGCTGTCTTGGTTTGTTTCGTCCAGATAAGGTTCTTGCATCGGCGCGCAATCAGGACCTTGCTCTTATGTTGGATTTTCATTATTTCCCCACTTTCAATAGAAAATCAAATAGAAAAAGAGTTATTTGAGAAAATTAGGGAATTATGCCACGAAGTGTCAATATATCTTCGCTAGATGATAAAAAGTTCGCCTTATATTTGTTGGAAAGTAGGAAAGCAATTTCAAATTGGACAGTCAAATTTGTAAGGTGAAACATTAAACGGTGTAAGAGAGAAATGAATTGGATGATATTACTAAAGTCACACCATATGATTTGCAGTTTTTATAACAAGAGAGAAGAGAGGGATATCAGAACATGTTTTTAGACATATAAAAAGCGCTATTTCACATAACGTAAGTTGTTTCATGTCCAAGGAATAATTAGAGCTTAAATCCATTATGAACTTCTGTCGTGAAGAGTCCATAGATGTTATTGAAAACGTTTTATTGGGGAAAAAGATTCATAAAATATCACACGAAATGCGAACGAATAATGAACTTTTATCATTAGTACGTAATGTAATTAAAAGACTCATGGAATCTAGGTCTACGGGACAGTTAAGCCGTCAGATTTATAGCAAAATAACACGAATAACAGTGGACCTATTGTATTGATTATCTGATTCACACTTTATATCGTTATTTTGTAATCCAATTACAGACATTAAACACTTAGTGAACCGAGATTTTTTGGGAGGATGACACTGTCGAATAAGGACGCGATCGATTTGCTAAAGACCGAAACTTTGAGTGATGTGAGACACCCTGGCCTGTCACGTGATATATCGTTAGTAACTCCGACTGTATCATACATCATTGATGGGCTTTTCCTTAAAAAATAGGGACATGAATCAAATGTATACAAACGTTGTTAGTCTATCTCTCTATTAATTAAGTTTTCAAAAGCTTCATTTCCGGTACAGTACACCCTTCCTGGACTTCACCTGCAACATGTCGCATTCAGACACTAGCTTTAAAAAATAAATACTAACCAAGACAGTTTGTGCTGCCGAAGAAAAAAAAATATTTTAACGTAAACTAACTAAAGGTACAGACCAACAATGAGCGAAGAGCAATAACATTGCTACCTCCAGGTAAAAATTTTCAAAAGTTATATTCCAATATATTTTTTTTAAATCATATAGATGTCATATTGTAATTTTTGTATTTACTACCACCCGGTGAATTCAAAATTTACAATATGACATACCTGGTAGATATGTATGTCAATTTTCATGTGAATTACTCATCAAAAGAAAGGGAGATAATATTTTGGTTCATGAATTTCACAAAACATGAAGAAATCAATGGAAAACGGAAAATACCCCCCCCCCCCTTCCCCAGGTGAAACAAAAATTCCGTTTTTACAGGTATTAAAAATTGCTATTTAGCAAATTCATACCAAAACTTTCATTGTTTTACGGGGAGGGGAGCAAATGTTTGCGGATCAATTACAACAAAAATGTTCATTTTATGACAAACTTCACATGATGTATAACTATAAGATTTTAATAAATGAATCGGATATAGTTAATTTTATATAAGTTAATCATTCTGGAGTGGTCATTTATCCATATCCTTGAGTATTTTAAAATGTGGGCACATTTTAAAGTCTGATTTCAGTGAATGAAATTGTACACCCCCTCGTCAAAAAGAGTTGTTTTTAAGGGCAATTAATTGATTGAAGCTGATATCAGAGTTATCAATCAAATACTAATTAAATTTCCTTTGTATTCCAAGAACTTTTATATAAAGCAAATTTATCAACATGTTGAAATATATGTGTGTGTGAAATGTAGGCAGGAATCGTGAGTTAGCGTTCGCAGTTCTTTGTGTTTCTAGCAATGAAGATCAGAAACAAAAAAATCTTAAGAAATAAGTCGAATTTGATTGATAAAAGTCTAACCATTATTGGTAAAAATGTCGAAGAATTCGTCACCCCTTCTGTCGTTTATGGAATCAAAATTCTTTTACAAATTTAACATCCGAGTAGCAGAGCGAGTTCTCGATAATTAGAACGATCATATCCTCCAGAAAATATCGAGTGTCGGAAAAAAAGCTTTTATTAATTATTCGTAAAAGCTATTCATTTTAGATGTTTTAAAACTGGATAATTAATTGTGAGTATTAAGAACATTTGATATACACTGTATTTGCAACAAGTTGTAACTTATCCAATATTGCTGCACTATTTAGACGTATATTTGAAATCCATTTTAATCTTTCCTTTAAAAAAGAAATCGACTAAAAATTTATGTTGTGACATTCTTGTAAATAAATTAGAAGGTGTGACAAACTTACACTAGGGTGTGTATTGTTCTTATCGTACAGTGCAGCTATTGGAGAATTTATCTTCGGTAAACAATTTTTCCTGTTTCATGTACCTCAGATTTGCTGAAAGCCCAGGGTTGATCGTCAAAAAAAAAATTTCGTAGCTTTTGGTAAAGTGGATGACATTAATTTTGGTCTGTTCGCCAGTCCCTCCTTTTGTCTGTAACACTCTACGTACGACATCTCCAAAAGTGCTTCAGCTTTTGCAATAAAATTTTATATCATAACTCTGTGATTTTAAGAAGACTTCTTTGACTTTGGGGTCAAAAGGTCAAAGAACAAGGTCAGAATTTCATATAATGCATTAAATGGTTTCCATTTGATACAATGTTCTTTGAGCATTTGCAATGAAACTTAAAGTGATGACTCTTTCTACCTATTGAGTTTGAAACAATTAACCTCTCACCTCAGTGATTTATATTTTTCTGTTACAGAATGGAGTCGCAGGCCCATTTTGGTACGCAGTAGGGATCATGATTAACATCTTTATTTTCCCAATATTTTCAGTGCAATTTAAAACTCGGGCACCTGGAGCTAAAACTTATTTACAGGTACATTAAAGATATAACTGTATAAACAAGGCGAATTATATGTGTTGAAATCATGATCACTGCATTATACTATCTTTCTTTACTGCCATATTCTATCTATTTTGTTTCCTGTACAATCTGCAATTGTGATTATCTTAATGTAATTTTACTGTCTTTTTTATGATGGATTATTCAGCAAAATAATCACGTGCCACATTTAAGAATTTGAATTATGATGAACTAAACTTTCTTACAAAGAATGAAAATAAAATGTATAAAATTTTAAAGTTCAATTCACTTATAATTTTTTTTTTCATTTCAGATTATTCACGCTCGTTTCGGCAAGTCTGCTCACGTGGTATTTTGTGTGTTTGCCTTGGTCACTAACCTGGTTATAATGATTGGGTTGTTGCTTGCGGGTCGAGCTACCATTAAGTCCCTTACTAAAGACACCTCGGACGAATTCTCCTTGTTTGTAATGGCGGTTCTGTTTGGGTCTTATTCTCTGGTCGGAGGAATTGGGACGACATTTTACGTGTCTTACTTTAATGCTTGTCTTGTATTCATACTTTTAATAGTATTCGTTGTTAAGATCCTTCACAATGATTCAATCGCCTTTGATTCCATTGGCGATGTCTCCAAGATGTATGAATACATTTCATGCGTCAAAGGGCCTCCTGAAAACGAAAACTACAGCTTTTTAACCTTTCGTTCTGGTGTAGCAATTCTTTACGGGGTCATTGAGGTTTTTGTTTCTTCAGCGGTCACGTATTGTGACCAAGCTTCATGGCAGAGCCGCATTGCTGCAAAGCCAATACAGGGAGTCTGGGGGTTCATTTTGGCGGGTTTCATGTGGTTCGCTATTCCTGCCACAATGGCAACCACAACCGGTATGGCATATCTTGCCTTAAGCATGGAAAACGGAACACATCTGTTGACACCAGGTCAGATTGATGAAGGTAATCATCAATTAACATAGGGAAATATTAAAAGTAAAACATTGTTTTAATATGTCAATGCCGAGTACTTTGGGCTGAACGTTTTGTAGGTTTGGTAACACCACTTATCGCTGAGAAGGTTTTGGGTTCCTCGGGTGGCATATTGATTCTGACTATGGGTGCTATGGCGCTGATGTCAACAGGTTCGGGGGAGGTAATGGCGATATCCTCCATCATTGTCTATGACATCTACCAGACCTACGTCAGACCGTTCAGGTATACTGTTTGCTGGTTCAATTGGTACCCAGCACATATAGCAGATTCTCCAACAAGTATAAATTCTGGTATCCCCCGACTTTTCTTTTTGAATAAAGAAAGAACGAATATTGATATTTTTGAGTGAAGATCGAACTTCTAAATTTAATGTTTCATCAAAGTTGTCTGAATTAAGTTTCTGTTCCATGAACCAAACGTTTGATTATTTCAGCGTAACGATGTGAATTAGACGACTTACTAGTAATAAGTTGTTTAATAATACTCGTAGATACAGCTTCTTCCATTGAAAAAAATTGGTTAGGGTGCTTTTTTTTAGTTTTCAAAAAAGTGCAGTGATAGCTGCAGAACTGTAGCGTTATGGTTTTATATATTAGTCTTTGACCATAACGTCAAGCTCCAGACAGCTCAGTATTCCGTTACGACGTTACGCTACAATTCCATTATTCGTAGGGAAAATAGTCCCGGAGAATTGACACTGTATGGAGTATGCCATTACGTTATGGTCAAAGATTAATATATAAAACCGTAACGCTACAGTTCTGCAGCTAGTGCAGTGAATGCTAGTGTGTGGCGATGAAAAAGTGTGCTAATTTGCAATTCAATTCCAATTTCATTGCAGAGACGGAATGAAGAGAAGGCAGTGTGTTTTATGTGGAAAAAATAAGAAAAGGACTCTGGTTGTCACTTACGAGAGTCGAAATGATCTTCACTGTCAATGCACCAGTGTCGTACGCTGTCATGGCTGCGCAGAAGATATAGTTCGAAGAAACCAGGTCACTGAGAATTGCATCAAGCCTCGTTACGAGTGTCCAATCCACGGGCAATACCGACAGTATCAGGACAATCTTATCCAATTCAAAAACTGGTGTATTGTGCTAGTCACTATCGCCATTATTCCTCTGGGAATGTTGGTTTTTGAGTCTGGGATTGATCTGAATTGGATTTTCTATGTCGGTGCCATCGTTACGATTCCTTGTTTTCCACCAGTTCTTCTCTCCATCATGTGGGTGAAAGCCACTTCAAGGGGCCTTATTACAGGTATAGAGGATAGGATAGTTTGCTTAGATACATGTGCAATTTTCAGGTTTAATTGATTCTACTGAAAACTGTTTAATATAAACATATCTATATAATCAGAAGTTTCATTTTTTTTTTATTACAGGAGGGATATTTGGACTGATATGTGGTATTACCGCAACGTTGTCAGCAGCAACTATGTATGAGGGAGGTCTCAATAATTTCCTGATCAACACAGTCCAGGATCATGCTATTTTAGCGGGAACTTGTGCTAGTTTTGGTGGCAGTTTGTTAGGATGTATTATCAGTTCGTTAATTACGCATCAAATTCGATGTCCTGAAGATGCAAATGAAGAATGGCAAAAACTGTACGACATTGACAATCCACTAAATCCATGGGAGTTAAATTACAAAGAAGAACTGAAGGATCTTCATTTTGATACAAAACCAACTTTTGAACAAATGTCTGCTCAATTTCGTAAAGCAAAGATGGTAGCGTATATTGGCGGCGGGAGTAGTATAGTTTTAATGGCACTCGTGATACCAGGGATCATCATGGCCAGCTACTCAGTGATGAGTGAAGGACAATTCTCAGCTTGGGTCTGGTTCACTCAGGCATGGGCTGTTGTCATGGCAATTGTTGTCATAGTAGCGCCGCCTGCTGAGGAAATTTCTCGAATAGTAAAGCAGTACCGCAAAAACAAAGAAACTATTATGGATGCAAACGAAACAGTGGATGAAGTTTTACTGAAAGAAGTCAATCATACTGAATTTCACGACCCATCCCAGCCAGTGGCAAAAGTTTGAGAACTTCAGTTGTTGGAAAGGTTTATATAGCCATTTGCATTGTTTATAAATGAGATCTGAAATTTCGAGTAACTTTCATGTAGCCAACCTAGTTTTTTCCTCACATCGGTCAATTCTTTCCATCCAGCTTCCCCCATTTTGCAGAACTTTAGACAGGTAAATCGTGACCTGTTCTCTGTACTTTATACCCCACTATACAGAAATAGTGGGGTATTTTTGTATGGAACGATTATTTTGGGGTTTTCACGATTTTTTCCTATGGTATACATGATGAATAAGTGTAATAAATATAATTTGTGAAAAGAAAGTCCAACAAACCTCGGGGTTGAATTGCTGCGGGGGGGGGGGGGGGTCCTGTCCACAAGTACCTGTGGTGGAGACCGGTCCTTCGGATTAGACCGTATAAACCGAGGTCGTGTCGCAGTAGGTGCTGCATGGCACGAAAAAGATCCCTCACTGCTCAATGGCCCTGAGTGCCGAGTATAGATTAAAATTTGTAGCTCTCTACCGGCAAGTGGTGGCGTCTCCACATTAGTGAAAAATTCTCGAGAGGGACGTTAAACAATAAACAAAAATACCTCTTACAGTTCTCGAGAGATACATGTATGTATAAAGTGTGACAGACAGACACCTGGTAAAGTGACCCCTAAGTGTTGTTCTGCTCAGCACAATTTTGGACCTAATACTAACCCCATGGCTCATAATTTTAAAATGGGAGGCCCATGGACCACATCGTTTACCTGAGCACTTTGGTTAGAGAAAGTTGAAATCAGTTCAGTATTGGAAAGTTTCAATGTATAAGTGGTCCCATATAGTAGTCATATAGTAGTTCCATATAAATATGACTAATCATTACTTTGCTGTCATGGATGAGAAGATTTTGAAAGATTTTTGTCCTATATATCCTATGTAATAATTTCATCGCCCATTGTGGCCTCACACTAACACAGGAGGTCATGATTTGAATTTGAATCTACATTATGTACAAGTAATAAAGCTTTTACTTTAGTTTTATCTTCTCTTGTCCATTGATTCTTGAGAAGAAGATTTTTGAAAGATGCCATTTTTCATTAATTCTTGATTCTTAATATGTCTCCTCTTGAAAGAGAATGTGGCCCTTACTGAAGGATGCTTTGTGCTAAGTTTGGTTGAAATTAGCCCACTGGTTCTGGAGAAGAAGATAAAAATTATAAAAAAAATTTACGACAACGACGGCGACAGACCACGGACAAATTTTGATAAGAAAGGCTCACTTGAGCCTTCGGCTCCTGAGATCTAAAAATCGTTTGAAATGGCAATTATATGGTGTCGAACATATAATTGTGTATGTTGTAAAGAAGTATAATTTTGTATTTCTCCATTTTTTTCTTAATCTCATCGAGCGCAGTTCTGTCCTTGTTTCATTGACATATAGTCATTCTACACATTATGAAATTAATAGATAAAGGCTGAGACTAGTTCTCGATATTTCCCAATCAAAAAATCGACCTAAAATACCTCATTTTCTCTCCAAAAAAAAAAAAAAAAGGTTGACATTCGGAATATACGTGACGTCTTTTTCCTGACTTCGAGGCATCCTACAATAGCTGTCATTTTCTCCAATTCTAAAAGTCAGACGTGTATATATTTATACGTGTAGTTCGGAACGTCACGAAGGTGCTCCCCTCTTAAAGACTATAGATTAATGCTCGAATATAACATCAACACTAACTCAGTTGTACATATTTAGCGATTTGCATTTTTTTCAAGTATTGGAGTACTTATTTATAAGTTTGTATTTTGTTTAGCTTTGTCACAGACTTTTAGATCATAGTGATCCATCACTTAAGACCTCTGTACACATATAAAAAGTTCTGACGATGTTTGCATTTTGATAATATTAAGTTGTTTATTATCATATAACTACAAGAGCTATACTTATCTACTTGTTCTTCGCTGGAACAAATCCTTCTGTTCGGGAGGACTGATGACACATAACTCAGGAAAATGAAATGCAGAATTATCAATCTAAAGAAATTCTCTAGGAGAATCAAGGCGAAATAAATTCATTATATATCTTTTAAAAGTAATGCTTTAAAATGTTGCTTATTAGATATTTGAAAAAAGACTACGAATGCATCAGAATACAACGAAGTGATCACCAGTTCTTTAAAAATTTCTGGCTGAGAGGGGATACCCCTCCCAGACCCTCGTTCTCACCCCCTTTCCAGAAACTTGGCGAAGGCCCTGAGAATTTCTTTCAGATATATATACATGTAAGGCCATTCCAATTTTTTTTCCTATGTTTAGCGTCCGCGGACGGATTGGTTTTGAGGTTATGAAGTTAAAAACAAACACAAATTAAAATCAACAAATACAAATCTTTGAAACGCAATTTACTCTTTTGGGATCGGCATCTCTGTTTTTTCAAGCGGTGCATTAATTTTTGTTTTCGATAAACTAGAATTTTACTTAAGTTACAATGCGAGGAGAATTCTCAAATGATGATGAAAAATTCTAGAATTGTGCTTAAAATGTTGTGTTTTTCTCTTTTGGTTTGTGTGTTTTTCTCCGGATAGAAAGATGGGTTTTCGAATTTAGGGTGGACGCTAAACAAAGAAAAAACTTGGAATGGTCTAATTGCGGAAGAGTAAGGTACCCCTATTTCAAGTACTCTTAATTAGAAATAAATAAATGTTCTATAGTACCTGTGCTCTTTCTGCGTTGATATTGGACAAGAATTTGGGTCTCTTATAAATAAACAATAACAGAGGTCTTAGTGTTACAAGTTGTCTTTGGAAACTCTTTACTGGAGTTTAAATTACTATCTTGAATCTAATAATTTTCTCAGTCAATATCAGTAGGGTTGTAGAAAAAACCATAGAACTACAGACAATGTCTATGTTTTAAGAACACTTAACAAATATGAATTTAAAAAGAAAAAGAAACTATTTACCTGCATTGTAGACTTTTCCAAAGCCTTTGACACTGTTTGGAGATCTGCACTTTTATATAAAATTAATTTAAAAAAGGCATAGGTGGCAAATTTTAAAAACTTTTATACAATATGTATACAAAAACGTATTACTCCTGTAAAAAAGACAATCAAATGAGCGAAGAATTTTTAGCAAATAGAGGAGTGAAACAAGGTGATAACGTGTCTGGATTTAAGGAAGATAAACATTTTTTTTTAGGCCATTAGGCCGAAGGCAAACAGTTTGGTTCGAGGGGTCGACAAAACGCATTTTGCCCTAGAATCCAGTCAGTAAATGTTTCGTTATACCTTTTATTTAATTATTTATTGTTATACATGTATCTATTGCTGGCTTCCATAATAACGATGGCAAATAAGATTTAGCTGGTCCCGCCCACAGTGTGACGTAAGCGGTCCAATATCTCGTGCATAGGGCCAATATCTCACTCTGCGGTCAAACATCGATTTTTTAATGACCGCTCAGTAAAACATTAGAAATGTTAGACTTTTTTTAAAGTATAGATTTATATAGGAACTAATTTTTAAAGGCATAACAAGTTTGTTTTTATGTTTTGCTTGTACATTAACTGTTGGAAAATATTTCCGCTAGCCATAAATAGCGATCTTCAAGTTTTGTTTAACAACAGAATGACGAAATGTTTTTACTAACAAGTTGGGTTTCAAAATGATTGAAGATATTTTTTTTTCATTTGAAAGATTAAATGTGTAGATAAAACCATAAATTTAATCGACTTAAAAAAAAAAACAACAACAAAAAATTGTTGCCTTTATTGATACTTCATACTGGGAAACAGTCAACTTGGGTTGAATATTTGTCAATTTAATGGTTCACTGTAAAACCAATACTTGTACTCCTAGTCTGTGCCTCCCGTGGCAATTTGGCATATGAGAAAATATGAATTCAGATTTTTTGTAATTAAGAAATATGAAGCATGAATATAATCTAAATACATGTATTTTATCCCCCCGCTTTTTTAAATATAAACACAAACCATCATTTGGGCAAAATATTTTATAGGTAATAAATCAACACACAACTACATAAAGCACATAGAGTAACGTTCTTCCTGTATTACGACTTATCGTTCCTATGAAGGTGTGTTAACATGAGGACGTGTGGATAGAGAGAAAGTTCGAACCTTATTAAACAACATCAGATGCGGTATCATGAAATAAATACGAGGGTTGTTCGGAAAGTTCGTGGACTTCTGTCATATCTTTTTTATTTAACGTCATATGTTATCCAAATTTGGTAGAAATATTTCAACAAAAAATTTAAATAATTTGTATTAAATTTTTCAAAAATGTTATGATTTATTTAAAACTTATCCAGAATTAAAAACAGCAAAAATCGGATCGCGGCGCATGTCAAAATTTAGTAATTTAGAAACAATACACTAAATAATGTCTGTAGTCATCTTCTCTGTAAAATGGAGCAAAAACGAAAAATCCTAGACGGTTAAAATAAGAACTGTTACATCAATTCTTATTCCAAATTATGGCTTAATATTTTGCTTCGGTAAAAAGAAATCAATTTGAGAAGACAGGTATTCCTCATTGAAAACGACAAAAACGATGACGTTGTAGAACGTCACGGCGCAGCAGATAACGATGCAGTTTTGTGTTATATTCGGGGAAAATCTTGAATAAACGCTAAAAATGTCAGAGGAATCAGAAAATATGCCACAAGCGAGAAGTGCATGTGTGTAAATGGTAGAGGCTGTATTTGAGTGACAGAGACTCTGTATCGGACGAGGACAATCTGTGAAGAAACGGTTTAACTGTAAAATTCTGAACGAAAACTTTTAAAAGTTGGGACGTCATGGAAAGACGCAGGCGCTTCAGAGTTGCTGATCTTGTGAAAGCACAATTAAGCGGTAAACAGCTGGTAAAAGAAATTAAACATTAACAAAGGAAATTATAAAACGAGAATAATTGTTAGAAAAATAAATGTCAAGTGATTGAAAAAAGTTTTTAATACGTGGGTATTGGACTAAACTGTGTGAATGTATAGGGATAGAATTTTTAAGAAACTCTTGACGCAATGTTTTTGACGTTACATTGTTTTTAAGTGTGCGCCGTGGTTACAAAACATGTTGATTTTAAAATGAAGTAAATTAATTTCTATCAAATCGAATGGAATGAAATTTCACAGATCAACAAAACAAATATTTTTACACATGATATTTGCTTATTTTAAATTTCTTGGAAGTAGTATAACAAAGATTGACATCGTCCACGAACTTTTCGAACAACCCTCGTAAAAGTTGTGGACTACAAAAATATCCAGCCCAAAACTAATACATGTATTTGAATTCGTGTATAGTTTTCTGTACTTTTTCAC